TCTGTCCTATAGTTCTAGTAAAGCCCTTGGCTTCAGGACAATGCTGTATATGACCATCGCTATGGCCAAAATGAAAGGTTTTTTGGGGTTTTTTTGGGGGTAGGGGGGTGTTTTTGTTTTGTTTTTTTTGTTTTTTAAATCTTTCTACCATTGATAAATGTGGAACCATAATGCTGTCTGAATGCTGAATGATCTATTTCCTCATCCAGATAAATTACTCCATAACGTTTAAGCTTATTTTGCCACATTGTATGAGACAATAGAAAAACATCAGTGTGTGTGTGGGGGGGGCTTTTGGTCAAGTTCCTGGATTGTGGTCATTGCCACTTGAAATCTTTCTAGTATAGATGCTACTGTCATTGACCTGGGCTTCAGAATTCTCACCAGAACTACCAAGAAGCATTCTAGGCTGCTTCTTCTAGCTTCCTTCTTTAAACATTTCTAGACTCTTCCTGCAAACATATTCTGAAGAAATCAGTCATTCCAGCAACAGTAGACACATTACTCTGGTAATGATTCTGTAATCTTACCAAATACCTAAGAAAAATCTACCTAAAAAGAGGAAAGATGAATCTTGGCTGATTTGTAGTTTTGAGTCAATATTGGTTATCATATTTTTTGGATATGTGGTGTGACAACTGATTACGTCAACATGAAGTATGGGACCCGGTTCCGGAGGGTGTCCCATGATGATCTCCCACCTGAGGACAGAGTGAGAGCAGGGAGGGACTGCTACTGTCTCTGCCGCTGCCTCTGCCTACATCTCCACTGTCTGTTGGTCTCCAGCTAGGCCTGGTGTGAGAGGTCTGGGCCAAAGGCTACAGAGCGCGAGCAGGGAGGAGAGATTGCCTGCCCCCCGCTGATGCCTCTGCTGTTGCCATTTGGTCACTACCAGGTGCTGCACCTGTCTCTCAGCACTGAGCTGGCCTGGGCTGGGCTGATAGGAAGCCAGCTAGCTGGCAAGGAAGCAGCTTGGTGCCCCAGAAAAGTTCCGGGAGAGCAGATCTCTCCCCAAGTGTTACAGCTCTAGTGTTACAGCTCTTACAACAAAAACTCTCAGACACCAGGATGATTCTCAAACACACCTTTACTTCTCCAGAATAGAGCCCTTATATACAGTTTCAGGGTAGGTTAGGGTCTGACAGCAGATAATGCCTATTGGCTTGGTCTGAGAGCTTGGAGATACCTCATCTACATGTAGGAGAGCCTGAGGCACTGTTCCTCGTGACTGATGGTCATAGACCTCTCTTTGGGAGATGTTGTGGAGGGCCGAAGCTGAATGAAAAGAACCAGGGCCTGGGGGCAAAAACCGAATACCTGCTGTCCAAATAATGGTCTGGGGTTCAAAACTCGCTCAACCAGGTACCCAGCTGCTTCTCCCAGTGCAGCACCCTGCACACAAAGCATGTGCCTCATAATAATAAGGAGGGAAATGAGAGTGAGGTAGCATTCCAGATCCATAACCTCATCCTATGGTATAACCTCAATGACCACAGATATCCAACCACAGCCCACATTGTTCTACTTCTTTCAAGTAGATCAATGATTCTCAACCTTCCTAATGCTGTGACCCTTTACCATAGTTTCCCAAGTCATGATGATCCCGAACATAAAATTATTTTTGTTGCTACTTCATAACTATAATTTACTAGTTGCGAATAGTAAATATTTGTTTTGAAATGATCTTAGGCAACCAACATGAAAAGGTCATTCAACCCCAAGAAGGGTCACAACCCACAGATTAAGAACTACTGAAATAGTGAATTGCTAAAGACCAATCCTCCAATACTGCACCTTTAGCAGATGATGATCCATCAATCATATAAGAAGAAATAATAAAAACTCTATGTTAGCTATCTTAAAACTAAAGAAGAAGAAGAAGAAGGAGAAGAAGAGGAGGAGGAGGAGGAGAGGAGGAGGAGGAGGAGGAGGAGGAGGAAGAGGAGGAGGAGGAGGAGGAGGAGGAGGAAGAGGAAGAGGGTGGGGTGAGAAGTGGGAACATCCCTGTGGAGACAAGGGGTGGGAAGGAGGCATGGGATGTGGAACAGTCGGACGGTAGGCTGGGAGGGGGGGAATAAAAACTGGAGTGTAAAAAAAATAATTAGACAAAAAATAAAATAAGGTTTAGACACAAAAAAAGATAAAGAAAGAAAGAAGACAGATTGACAGAATGGAAAGAAAGGAGGGCTCTTTCCCATTTATGCTATGAAACGTTCTCTCCATATTAGATTGAACCATAAAGTACTCAAGTGCTTCTGTAATTCCCTAAATGGTAATGCTGATTCACTGCACCGACATTATTTGTGCAAACAATGGAGTTCTTGCTGAACAAATACCTTCCATCTGGGAATCTGGAATTTTGCTTATTGCTTTAGAAACCACCTCCAGATAACACTCTAGGTGTTATATTTCAAAACAGACTTACTTTAGAAGAACAATACATTCACGTGGCTTCCCTTCTGTTTGGGGGTAAAGTCTGAGTTGTGACAGGGAGATAAAACCAGCACATAGACACTTTAAACCATCAGCTGCATTTTCTCCTTATGCTCTTTGTATGTAACACTATTATTACTATACTATAAAAATTGTATACTCTTGTTACTAGAATAAACTGAATCCCATGAGTATTTCTAGAGAATGTTCAAAACTGGAATGGATTGGGAGATCCCCAATGACCATGAGTGCTGGAAAAGGAAGAGCAATGAGAATAAGATGTCACCAGCAATGTGACAGTCACGAGAAAGAGCTGAAGACAAAGGTTGAAAAATGGGAGGAGAGGATGATGCTGTCCTTCTGTCCTTGAGATTGACCTGTCATGAGACAGAATGCTTGAAACAATGAGAATCAAAAGAATGAATTCTACTCTGTGTGTGTGTGTGTGTGTGTGTATGAGTGTTTTACCTACATGTATGTATGTGCATTGCTTATGTACCTGTTATACACAAAGGACAGAAGTCTGTATCAGATACCCTTGGAACAGGAGTTACAGATAATTGAGAACTTTCATGTGGGTTTCCATGTGGGTGCAGGGAACTGAACAGATGTCCTTCACAGAAGTAGTAAGTGCTCTTAACCACTTACAAGTCCTGTGTGTATAAGTTTAAAAAATTTTAAAGAGGATTTGTAAAATCATATAAAATATTCTTCAAATCTGCTAAGTGATGAAGAATAATTTTTTAAAATGACAAATGTCCCCTAGATAATTTTGAAATTTCCAGGCAACAGAAAACAAGAATTTCTTTTATAAAGGAGAAAGTTTTAAAGTATAATAGTGCTTTACAAGATTAAACATCTGGAGGTTTAGAAGACACTGTTTCAAAAGGGCCAACTGTAAACTTTTAAACAAGATGTCCTGGGACATGGTGGTATAGAACTTGCGAGAGAGTCTAACCAATAGCAGGTCCAACTTGAGGCCCATGCCAGGAGAGGGGGCTTACCAATGCCTGACACTGTCTGAAAAGCCAGGAATCAGAGCCTGGATATCCTAGACACCTAGGCTATAATCAAACATGATAGAAAGAGTCAATGCAATGTTTTCTAATGATATTCTGCTATGCTCATAGACCAGAGTCTAATATAATTATCATCAGAGAGGCTTGATCCAGCAACTGATAGGAGCAGTTTTCAAAGACCCAGAGACAAGCATTAGAGGGATGGAATTAGGAGAAACCTAACGAGAAGGTGGGAGAATGATTGTAGGAACTATAAAGGTCATGAAGACCAGGAAAGCATGGCCCACAGAATCAACTGAGCAGGGTTTACAGGCTCACAGAGATTCAAACTGCAACAATGGAGTCTCTATGGCTCTACATTAGCCCCTCTGCAAACATTCTGTAGTTCTTTAGCTTGGGGCTTTTGTTGGATTCCTAACAATGGGGTGTTCTGGGTTGATTTGTTAGGTTGAACTGTGGGTCCCCGTGTCTGTCCCCACCATGGGACTAGGGCCACTGGTCTGAGAGGCACTACACGGGAAGTTGACTCTGTGCTCACTCCATGCCCACACCGGGCAGGTGTCGGGCTATGTGAAGTCCTGCTCAGGGGGGGAGAGGCACAGTCTGAGGTCCCACAGGGAGCCAGAACTCTTGGTGTGGGGGGTCTTGGGGCTAAAAGATGGCTGGAGACCGGATGGTTCTCAGGCCCTTTGGGCCCCCAAGCACAGCTGGAGGGCTGCACAAGGGCCAAGAATGAAGTGGAGGTGTATGGGCTGGATTGGTTGAAGCTGAAGGGTGGGGGAGAAGTTCCGGTTAGGCACCTCAGGGGAAGAGTTCTCAGTCACGGTGGCTTGCTTAGCTTGATCACAGCTGGCTAAGTTTGCTTACTTGGGATGGTGGTCTCCATGGCTGGGAACACTCTACTGTTCCCTATGGTGGATTTCAAAGAAGAGAAACAGTCCATGGTCTTAAGATGTTTGTTGTCATGGAGGAAAGTAGATTAAAACTATACCCCAGTTTCCTCAAGGTGGGCCTGAGGTTAAATAACTTTTACAAAGAGGAGAGTTTATGAAGGAATGTTTAATTGGCTACGCCCCTCTGGCCTTTAGGTACCTCATTAATATGGAGATGTGTCTTGAGGTTGTGTGGCCTGTAGTCATCCCCTCTGCTGTGGAGGAGATAGGGAAAATTGTCCTATGCAACTGAAAGGCACAGATGATGAAGGACTGCAACATGTCAGGAGCCTGGAGTCTGGGATCATGGCAAAATGCCTGCCAGCCCATGTAGGAAACCCTGAAGAGTCTCTGGAGATTTTGAGCCAGTGCTCAACCAGAAACCAGGCTGTCCTTCACTGTCCTACAGGAATTTGGTGTATGACTCTTCTACCTGCTTTTGGGACCCTTTTCCTGTTGAGTTGCCTGGTCCAGCTTTGATATGAGGATATGTGCCTAGTCTTATAACTTTTTGTGCCATATTTAGTTGATATCAAAAATATAGAATAATGTATACTACATATAATAAAAATTTAGGCATAAATAATAAACAAAATAAAAACAAGATTTATATTTATCTCAGAAATTTTATTGGAAATATTGTGAATAAAATTAATATTATTGGTCTTATGCAAAGCTTGTGGAATAAATACCTGGATACAGATGCTATTAATAGTGGAATGCTGTTGATAAATGGATGCCAATGTATTTCAGACCATCACACCCTCATATTATTCCAATTTTGTGTGGCGCTGTCAGATCTTGGGATTTAAAGCTGGAGAATCTTTGCATCATACATGAGGGGAAACAGGTATCCTTGAGTGTCTTCAATAGTAGTAGCCAAATCCAGATCCATAGCCAGAGCCACAGCCATAGCCACAGCCATAGAGAGAGCGTGAGCCATAGCCACAGCCATAGCCATAGCCACAGCCCAGTCCACGGTAGCCACAGCCATAGTAGGAGCCATAGCCACAGCCCAGGCCTCCATAGCCATAGCCCAGGCCTCCATAGCCACAGCAGCCATAGCCTCTGCCGCCATAGTAGTTTCCGTAGTAGCCACACATGGTGTTGGTTGTTGAGGTTGTTCTTGGGTAGAGAGGAGTGTAGGTGACTTGAGTCTGTATACTTCTGCCTGTAGGGAGCCCTTTTATATTCTCTCCGTGTGGGTGGAGCCCACCCTGCACCCATGCTATTGGCTAATTTTAAGACTGATCTAATTTAATTAGTTTTTTTTCTCAACCATATGACAAAACTTCAAAGTTATTATGGAAGCTTGTTTTGTTTGACAATTAGGTTCCGTGAAACAATTTAACACTAATAATAACGAGGGAACACTAAAACATAAGAATGTTCATTTTAACTGCTGTATACATGTATGACATAGCCAAGCTGCACATGTGCTGACTTGCCTGCATCACAGAATAAAATGCATATTCTTTTCCTTGTTCACCCACTTCAGTCATCTGAAGCAGCATATTTCCTCTATTATTTATTCAAAATATTTTGTTCTATAATATAACTTTCTATCAACAATAAAGGAGAAGCTTGATTTGGACTTCATCTTTAGAACACAATTAAGAAACAAGCTAAACTGCAATGTATTTTAAATTTCACTTTAATATTTAAAAGTTCAGTGAACTAACAAACTGAGCCAACTTTGTGTCTGGAATTTTAATTAAATAGATTTTAATTTTTTTGACTAATTTCTTTTCATGCTCATGAAAGCCAGTTTTTTTATGGATTTTAATTTTACGTAACACCTAGTAAAAATAATTATGATATATTTCAATAAATTAAGACTCTACAAATTATGATTTTTAAAATACCACATTTCAGCTTTTGAAATGTTTAAGAGTTTTTACTAGTTATGTTTATAAAATTTGTGAGACATGAAATTTTATTGTTTATATGATTTTTTGAGAAAAAAATATCAACTGGCTATTTCTAGAAAAAAATGTCAATATTTTAAGATTTATAATAAGTTAATATCATTAAGAACATCTTTAGACATTTGATTTCACCAACATATTTTTCAAAGTTAAATTCTTTTGTAACAATAAATAATGTGGAACAGGAAATCTGCTTTTAGTCATTCATGTAGAACTTTTTGTAATAACCATTAAATATTACATGACATTGCTATTTTAACTAGACTGCCCAGGCTGTGAGGACACACAACAGTGCATTTTTTTCCCATTGTGTAAAAATAACCACAGCTTCTCAAGGTACTAGAAGAACAATTCATATCCTACAAACATGTCTAAAACAATGACCATAAGTTTAATAGGCCAGAGATGCTTTGTTTTGAAATTATAGTTTTCCAAGTAAGCAAAGGTTATAAAATTTATGGCAGCAAGTCTTTTAGAATCATTTTCAAGAGTCATTTATGTCTTATAAAGTTTTATAATCAGTGAATGCTTTATTTTCATTAAAACATTTGTTTATTTATTTCTTTATCCACTTTACATCCTGATTGAAGCCCCCTACATCTCCCCCATCCCACCATCACACCCCATCCTCCCATTCCCCTCCTTTTCTCATCATAGAAGAAGAGGATCCCATGAGTGCCAACCAGCTATGTCACATGCAGAAGGGCTAATGCATGCTTTCCTAATGAGGCAAGACAACACAGGCCACTTAGGACAAAGGAATCTAAAGGCAGGCAACAGAGACAGAGATAGCGCCCACAAACATTTTTGTTTTTAAAATGCGAATAACTTATATTTGAACAGTTCCATATTCGTGACATAACTGAGAATTGCAAACATTTTTTCATGTTCCATCTCTACTCTCTGCTACCCAGCGTCTCCATCACCAGGATGCTATACACAGTGGCACACCTATTACAACACATGAATTACACCAAAGCATCATTATCTCCCAGAGTCCATAATGCTGAGTACTAATGATATATCTTCTATGGACTTTGACGAGCCTGCATGGCATGCACTCAGAGTTGAAGTATCTCAGTTTTATTGCCCTAGAAATCCTTTTGATATTTCTGCTTATACACTCCTCTCTTCTAAAATGTTCTACACACCTATTCCTCAGAAATATAATTAGTATTTATTTCATGCAGAAAAAAAACCAAAAAATTCTTTCCTCAGGTAAAGAATTCCTAAGAATTTCCTTAGGAAAGCTAAATTTTCTTTAGGTTCTCTAGCTATTTGCCTAATTCACTATTTCCCTTAATAAAAAATTTCATTGAGAAATGTATATCTCCACTTTTTACCTCCTTTCCCTCAAATGATCGGGCTTCTGACAGTCAACATTCCTGTGGAGCTACCTCAATTCCATTTTGGTTTATTCATTGGCATTTTGTTTAAGTTTTCAAACACAGTAAGACTTGGTGAACTGTTTAAAACCCTGGAGCATGCAGTGACCAACTACATCTTTTTGTAATGTCTTTTACAACTTGTCTACAACTTTACCTCAATCTCAAACATGTTTTGGCTCCCTTTTACAAGTAGGAGGTATTCTTGACTCTGTACCTTCCTCCACAATTCCCTATTGGCTATTTCTCTCCAATCCAGAGCAGCTGTTTATGGAAACTTTACTGAAGATTGATAAGATTTAGACACAACCAATATGCTCTTTTAAAAATATTTAACATTTTTATTTTGAAATTACAATATAATTATATTATTTCTCTCCTCACTTTTCTTACTCTAAACTTTCCCATACACTCTTCCTTGCTCTTTGTTTTCAAATCCATGACCTCTTTATTTATTAATTGTTATAATATGAATATAAGTATATTATATTATATCTGCATGTATATATGTTTATTTATATACATATATTGCTAAATAAAGCCAGTGTGGTCTGTACAATATCATTGGTATGTATGTTTTCATAGTTGATCACTAAGTATAGGATAAGCAGTTTATGTGCTCTTTCCTGGGGACAACCATTTCTCCCAATCTCAGCACTCCTTAGTTGCCGGTAGTTCTTTATGTAGGGTGGAGGCCTCCTGGTCTGCCCAGTCCATTCTGGAATGTCTGTAGTTCAGCTCATGTTTGGGCAGTCATGTTGGAGATCTGTTATAGTTACAGCTTCTGACATGACTTGAGTCACCTCCCCACCACACACTTAAGGAAACAAATACCATGAGAACAGGGACTTTAATGATGCTTAATTCCAACTTCCCATATGCAAAGCTGTTTTTTTCATAAATTATTTTCATTTCATTTATGAAGTTTTCCATGAATCACTCCATGAAGTGGAACAATAGTACAAACTACAAGGGAAAAAACATGAAAAATATATAAAATGAGTTTCTAGAACAATATTGATAGTGAACCAAGTATTTCTTTGCCAGACCTCAGTTCTAGAAAGCAAGATCACAGAGATCTTTTGATCCCTGAAGATCTAAGTAAAATTTTTGACTTCCATGTATGTATGTTATATTTTCACTATAAAATTAAATATAATTGCATCACTTCCTCCTTCTAACTCCTCACATATACCCCTACTTTGCTCCATCTCAAATTAATTATATAAAATAAAAAAAAAAAAAATATTGATATATATATATATATATATATATATATATAAAACACAACCTCTTTGATTCACTTAAAATATTTGTGCAAATATGCTTATATGCTTTCAGGGCTTATATTCATTTTGCAGTGAATAACTAATACAGCAGTTCTTCCATGAGAACGAGTATTTTACCCACTTTCCACATTTCCTAGTTTCCTATAGTTCTATGTCTGGATTTAGGACCCATTGAGATTAATTCCTCCCCTGTTAGTATATGACTTTGTTATGGTTACTGTTGCTGTGATGAAGCACCATGACCAGAAGCAACTTAAGAAGGAAAGGGTTATGCTTCTATATCACAGGTCATCACTGAAGGAAGTCAGGAACTCAAGCAAGGAAGGAAGCTGGAGGCAAGAGCTCATGCAGAGGTATGGAGTGGTGATGTATACTGGCTAGCTCATAATGACTTCCTCAGCCTCTTTTCTTATAGAACCAGGACCACCAGTCTCAGGTGCAGCAGTTCCATTGTAGATGCATCCGTTGGAGCTCGGCACTACAAGATCACTTCTCTGAATTTTAAACAGATATAGATTTCTGCAAAAATCCTCCCAGGAATAAAGCTTCCAGGCCAGATCCAACAAAGATATTCTGAGCAGAGTTGTGTCCAGAGTGCAAGTTATCTTCAGTAAGAAAGACTTGCTTTCAACATCTGGAGTGAGGGAATCAACAGTAATAAAAATAATAGCTATAATGATTTTGGAGACTCTTGGATTTCTCAGAGCAAAACTCAAAAGGAGTTTTCTCATGACTACATTGAGGTTTTATTAGATAGTCTGTGGCTCTTGTGGGACAACATTTCAGAACAATAGCCCATTTTTAAAATTGTGTTGTTTGTTTTTTGACTCTTTGATTTAGAGTTCTTTATATATACTAGCTATTTCTCCTCTGTCATGTATATAGCTGGCAAAGATTCTCTCCCTTTCAGTGTGCTTTCTCTTCAGTCAATTAAACATAAGATAAATGAAGAGAAACTGAGAAATTACATCAAAATATAAGATGAAACTATGAAATTATAAAATAAAAATGTAAGATTTATGCTAAACTTCTAGATATCCTCTGTAAGAGAGTCTGGGATTCATAAACCAACAAATGAAAGAAAAAATACGGGCATGGTATCTTTATAAAGGGAGTGGTTAAAATAATCTTGATAGTCAGATATATTTTAATTAAATAGATCCCATAATTAAGTGACACTAGAAATTAAAGCTAACCTGAAACATTTTGAATTTATCTAAGAAAATGCTAAAGACATAATACGTATATATGGAAAACATTGTCTTCATACTAAGTCTGTCTGGGAAAATGCTGTTTCATTTAACTTTACTTTCATCCAGCAATAAAATGGGAATACCTTTAAGATATCATGTAATTGGTTGTGTTGATGTGTTTTTAATATTATTGCTCTGGGAAGACTAAGGATACATCATCAGATGTAATACCTCATATTATGATGGCTTTCCAATAAATCCTTCTTAAATACAATTATTTAGATTAGATTACAAATGTAAATTATTTTTATAGTTTCAATGTAATTTATGCACATAATATTAATCAAATTTGACAGTAAACTCTTACTCTATATGCCAAACAATCAAAAAAACTCCACCATGCATGTAATTGTAAAATATCACTTCTATTAAACATCAGACTTCATTCTGACATCTTTACATATTTTTAACACATTTAGATATAATAGCAACCCTTCAATACAGGCTATGTTTTTCCATCTAATTGTATATATTCATGCCAATCTGGAAGTTTATAATATGAAAAAAAATCCAAAATCCATTAAGAAGGAGATCTATGTTTCATGTTTTAGTATAATAAACTGGAATTATTTTATATGTATTTCTAATGAAAGTAAATATAATGATACTATAGTTAAGGTCCATGGGTGTAGAAAATTAATGGCAGAAATAAGATACAGAGCTAATGACAAAAGAGCTAATGCCAAATCAATATGAGTAAAAATATACGTTTGCTTGGTGACATGACTGCTGACATTGAAACTCAATTCTTAGCATTATAATTTGCAAAAGTTTCAATAACTTTTGTTACTATTATTGCATGAGTCAAGTACACGTATTAGAAAAATCTTAACAACAGTCATGAACATTTTTTTCCTGAGGCATTATATTATGTTCAGTGATTAAGTCTCTTCAAGAAATCAAGATAACTAAAATCTGTAATTTAAAAAAGATAGCACATACTATCCATCCCTCATCTGGTAATAATTTTATTTTAAAGGTTCAAGAATTAAAAAAATAGGAAATATAAGTCCTATATAGACATCATTTGAAGAAACTATGTCTTTAACTAAGTTAAATCTTTCTAGAAAACTAAGTTCATTTTGTAGAGTCACTAATTTTACTACAAAACCACAGAGCTTCCTAAAACAAGGTCTTTTTTTTTTTTTTTTTTTTCCGAGACAGGGTTTCTCTGTGTAGCCCTGGCTGTCCTGGAACTCACTCTGTGGACCAGGCTGGCCTCGAACTCTCGAACTCAGAAATCCGCCTGTCTCTGCTTCCCAAGTGCTGGGATTAAAGGCGTGCGCCACCACGGCCCGGCTTCTAAAACAAGGTCTTAACATTGCTTGAGGTAGTCCTCCCTAACTAGTAGATAAGATCCTATTGGTGAAGACATCACACCCTTGGATATATGACAAATTTGAAACTGAGCTGGCAACTTCCTCACTATTGCCCATCTTTTCCTGGGTCAGAAGATGCAGAGGAAGCTGTCAAGGACAATGGGTTTCAATGGTCCTACCAAGATAAGAACTGCAAGAACTGCAATACCAGTCTAGCAGGCAAGACATACCCATTGGTGCAGTAGAAACTCAAGTCTTATAGGGTCAACCAAGTGTTCTATAATTTGTTTTGAAGACCATTCCACAAAGCATAATTCATGACTGGTACTATAATCCAGTTAAAAATCCTTTACTGATGGAGTTCAGTCCCAGGGGTATAATTTAACTACAATTATTTAGCTAAACTGACATAAACATAAACAGTTCTCTAAATTATTTATGTTGCTACCCATATATACATAGTATTCTCAGTCATCAAGTAAACTCACAATAAACAGAGATGAATACAGAGACAGATGGCTGCTCAAGGGAGTGCTCAACTCTGAGTTGAACATTCATGTTACCCCCCTCTAAAGCCTGGGAGCAATATAGAAGAGGAGCACAAATAATGGAAAAGCTTGAATATAGGTGTTCTTGCTGTGAAGAACTAACTTGACACATAACATAGCCAATGTTGTCATGACCTCATATCAACAGCGGTTTCTAATGGGCCTGCACAGGACAGGACCAATTAACAGTCAACTGTAAATTCTGGAGGGACAAGGGTCATTTGCCGTGCCCTCCCACCTTTGCTGAACTATGGTCAACAATTCAACATAACACATATCAACACAAGTTAAACAGAGTTTGTTTTGTTTAGATCATTTTTCCACATTGTTAAGATTATTATGTTATTAATATCACAAACCAAGGACTTAGTGGCACAAGTGATGCAGAAATTTTAAAGTAGGTATATCCTAAGAAAAGCAGTTGTATGTAACAATGAAATATAAATGTGGATAATGTCAGAAAATCAAAGTATCAGAAAGATCACTTAGGGATTAAAGGGACATGTCTTTAAACCTGGAAAGATGAGTTTAAACACTATTACTCACATACTGAAGAAAAAGAACCACACTTCTCAAGTTTTCTTCTGACTCCCATATGTGTGCTGTGGCACATGGATGGACACACACACACACACACACACTAAATAAATAAGTAAATGAAATAGCAAATATTGTAGTGTGTAAGATTGAATAAATTTATTAGAAAAATATAGAAAAATAAAAACACAAGATTCTTGTTATCCTGTTGAGAGATATAGAGTACACAAGATAATATCTAAACAATATTTATTCTCAGGAGTCAAATTCAAAGAAATAAAAGCCTCAGGTCTTATATCTGAAGTTCATTAAATGACATATCTTCAATAAGGTTACATCATAAACTTGAGGTGTAAGAGCCTCTAAGAAGGGGGTTCAGAAAACATGGAGTTCAGAATAGGAGATTTCTGAGCTCACATTCAAGAGGGTAAGAGTCTTCCATGGTGTCTTCAGTAGTAGTAGCCAAATCCAGAGCCATAGCCAGAGCCACAGCCATAGCCACAGCCATAGAGAGAGCGTGAGCCATAGCCACAGCCATAGCCATAGCCACAGCCCAGTCCACGGTAGCCACAGCCATAGTAGGAGCCATAGCCACAGCCCAGGCCTCCATAGCCATAGCCCAGGCCTCCATAGCCACAGCAGCCATAGCCTCTGCCGCCATAGTAGTTTCCGTAGTAGCCACACATGGTGTTGGTTGTTGAGGTTGTTCTTGGGTAGAGAGGAGTGTAGGTGACTTGAGTCTGTATACTTCTGCCTGAAGGGAGGCCCTTTTATATTCTCTCCGTGTGGGTGGGACCCACCATGTGCTCGTGTCACTGGCTAATTTTATGACTAATGTAATTGTTTTGTTGTTTTTCAATCATGATAATATAGTTGAGTCATTAAAGAGGCTTGGTATTTGGACTTTGAGGTTTTTCTTGAATGTAATTTATTCACTATTTTTTAATATTTGGAATAAAATACAGTTACCTCCATTTACTTCTTGGAATACTTCCTATGCCTACCAAACTCTCAAGTACAAAACTTTTTATTCTTTGAGTATCATTGTTACATGAATTTATTTATTTATTTATTTATTTATTTATTTATTTTAATATATACGTATATATTTGCATATATATCATACAGATTCTGGTTTTGTTGTTTGTGTGTATATGGTTTTAAGGCTGATCACTCTACCTTGGGCCTTGGACAACCAATAAACAAGTCCATCTTTAGGAAAGGCTAATTCTCCTTCCTCCAATAGTTAATAGTTGCCTATAGTTTTTTGCCTAGAAATGAGACATTTCCCAAAAATTTCCTCCTCAACACATGCCCATTGAAATTGTCATTGTATACTAAAAATAATATTGGAACCAATGCCCTAAACTGAAGATAGAAACAACAACGGCCAAAAGAGTTAGAAAAAAATGAAGCTATAACTTAGTGAAAAACAAATCTCAACTATGAACACAATCCAACAATAACCAACAAAAAAGATAGGTAAATAGGATGTATTAAGAAACAGAACCCATCTAAAGACTGTCTATGAGAAACTCATTTTAGCTTGAAGATAAACATCACTTTAAAGTAAAAGAATGACTGGAAGTACTCCAGGTGAATGAGATCAGAAGTCAAGCATGTATTACCATCCTAAAATCTGCCAAAATAAACAGCAGATGAAAACTATTTAGAAGAGACAAAGAAGGGCACTTCATTCTAAGTCGGGAAATATCTAAATTAAAAGGAAAATATCAAAATACTAAACATGTATACAACAAATTGTTGATAACTCAATTTCATAAAAACTATATTAATAGAATTAAAGACACAGATTAACACAGTCACCACAATAGTAAGTAATTTCAACAACCTACTTCCTTAAATAAATAGGTCACGTAGACACAAAATGTTATTTTATATCAAATAGACTAATAAATATCTGCAAAATATTCCATTCAATTTTCAAAGAATATAAATTCTACTCAACAGCACATAGAAGCATGTCTTTTTAAAAAAATCACATGGTAGAACACAAAGCCAACTTTAACAAATACAGAAAAGTTGAAATAACTCCATCTATCCTATGTGACTTTCATGCAAGAAACTTAAAATTGTCAACAAACAAAACTCTAGGAGTCAATCATCAACACAGAAATTAATGAAAACGAAACAAAGATAACAATGCAGAGGGCCAATGAATCTGAGTTGTTCCTTAAATACTTTGTTCTCCAACAGTTTTGTATAATCATATAAATAGCATTCTGCTCCTATTACCACTCCACCCTTGCCTATCGCTCAGCAAGATAAGTGGTTTTCTGAACAATTCTCTTTCTCTCTCTTATGTCTTTTTGTTTTGTGACCCCATGTGTTTAACAAAGACCAAGGAAATCCTGCTCATGTGTATGGAGCTGCCCACTTGGGTATGAGTCTAGCCTTGTCTATGCTGACAAAAACAATGATTCTCTATCCTATAGAAGACTTAGCTGCCAATATGTCTCCAGACTAGGTCCCATGAGCCCTGTTGCTATCTGCAACCAATATTGACAGCCCCAATTATCTGCATGGGATTTCTTTTGTGAATAATGGAGGTTGCTGTGTGTTTGTGAGTGCAGAGGTTATGTTATGCCTGAAAGATTGCTCATCCTCTTTCCTCTGTTACCTACAAAATAGATATAAAGATCATGGATCCAGGTGAGGAAGTTTAAAGCAGAATGGGAGTGGTAGACTAGTGGATTTAACTCTCCTGATTCAACTGAGGGTTTTTTTTATTGACATATATTAATATGTTAATATTTATCTACTGTATATTATACATAGACATCACACACATACACACACACACACACACGCACACACACACACACACGACTCGTCTCTCATATAACACATCCCAAACAGTTTTCCCTCCTTCCACTCCTACGAGTCCCTACATCCTTTTTCCCTGATCCACTACTCCCCTTTCCCTTCCTCTTCAGAAAAGAGCAGAAAGAGTCTCAAGGGCAGGCAAAAGAGTCAGAAAAACATCTGGTCCCACTGTTAGGTATCCCACAAAAATACCAATGAGAGGTGACACATATACTCACCTAAATCTTCCTCAAACTAGACTTTTAAACCTCCAATAATTAATATATATCTCAAAACCATACTAGTTTAATTATATTCTTATTTTTAACCACCCTAAAGTTATCCAGTTTTAAAAATATTTCAGTGACGTGGCAATTCTTTCGCATTGTGACATTTCTTCTCTCTTGATCTACATGAAATTTCTCCTTCTAGAGCTAGATATCTACCATAATATGATATATATTATACAATGCATTTTTATGTTAGCATTATAGTATGGCATTATAATAATGTATTAAATTAAATATATCATATATATAAAATACTATCATATATAAATTGTTATACATATAATAAATTATATATGTGTGTGAATATATTAAAGTTCAATTCATGTTTGATATTCATAGTGTTAATAATAATAGTATATAATAACATACTGAGGTCTATGCAAAATGGAATCTTCTCTTGAAGATTAAGGAAAATAACTTATATGATGAAGTTTCATTTCTCAATTTTTCTCAAATCATTCTTATTTCCTACTATCAATTAACCACACCTCATTTAAACATTAGAATATGGCTCCAGCTGTATATGCAGCAGAGGATGGCCTTGTGTGACATCAATGAGAAGAGAGATCCTTGGTTCTGTGAAAGCTTGATGCCTCAGTGTAGGGGAGTGCTAGCATAGTTAAGTGGGAGTGGGTGTTTTGGGGAGCACCCTCATAGAAGCAGGGGAAGGGAGGATGGGATAGGGGGTTTTCAGAGGGGAAACCAGGAAAGAGGATAACATTTGAAATATAAATAAATAAAATATTCAAAAAACCCTTATATTTCCTTAAAAAAAGAATATATCCTTCATTAAATGTATGTGGGAAGGCAATATTGTTAACACACTCACTTTGATTTTTGATATTATAGTCATATTTCTGTCATTCCAATAATAGTTTGCAGTAATTACTATTTTTAACATGTCTTCTCAGATATTCTTTGGTGAAACTCAGAGATTGGAATTTGAAGATAATATACATTATAATTAAGAAACTTCAGGTATTAGCCATGCCCTATAATTTACATTAAAATTAAGAGAGTTCAGGTATTAACCATGCCCTGTATTTTAATTCCTTTCCTGGCAATCATCAGAATGTGAAAATGATTTTTTTTTAATTATCTAATTTGTTTTGCCACGTGTGCATTCCCAGTGACTCAAAAGAATAGAAGTAAAACTATTTATTGATAATAACTACATCTACATATTAGTCTACTAATTCATCCACTGCATGTTTTGAATATTGTTTGTATGTGTGTTTCTTAATGGGACTATTTTTATTACATGGATATATGATACAGCTTACTCACTTTTGGCTGTTTGAAATATTTGAAATAGAAAACATATTCACTTATTCAAAGACAGATGTTTTTTTCTTTTTTTAAAATTGAAAATAGATTCTTCTCTCATATAATACATCCCAACCACAGTTTGCCCTCCCCTCACTCCCAGTTCCCGTCTACCTCCCATTCCCTGCAGATCCACTCCCTCTGTATTCTCTTGAAAAAAGAGAAGGCCTCCAAGAGAGGACAGCCAAACAGGACTGAACAAGATTGAGAGAGAGAGAGAGAGAGAGAGGGAGAGAGAGAGAGAGAGAGAGAGAGAGAGAGAGAGAGAGAGAGAGAGAGAACAAGATAAAAGTCCTCATATTGAAGTTGGAGAAGAGTTCCAGGAGCAAACAAAAGAGTCAGAGACACATCTGCTCCTACTGTTAGAAGTCTCACAAAACCAACAAGCTAACCACCATAGCGTTTACACAGAGAACTTGATGCAGACTCTTGCAGGCTCTGTGCTTGGTACTTCAGCCTCTGTGAGCCCATGTGATCCTGCTTTGTTGATTAGATTGGCCATGTTTTCTTTATGTTCTCCGTATATTCCAAGTCCTACCATCTTTCTTCTCCCACTTCCAAGGGAATCTCTGGAGACATCAAAGTTAGACTCCCTTTGCACATAACTATCACTAGGAAGAATCCAGACCATGTAGGACATGAACTTGTGAGCTTTTGGGCTAATATCCACTTATCAGTTAGTGCATGCCATGTATGTTCTTTTGTGATTGGGTTTCCTCACTCGGGATGATACTCTCTAGTTCCATCCATTTGCCTGAGAATTTTATGAGTTCATTGTTTTTAATAGTTGAGTAATACTCCATTGCGTAAATGTGCTACATTTTCTGTATCCATTCCTCTGTTAAGGGACATCTGAGTTCTTCCCAGCTTCTGGCTATTATAAATAAGGCTGCTATGAACATAGTGGAGCATGTGTCCTTGTTATAAGTTGGAGCATCTGTTAGGTATATGTCCAGGAATGGCATAACTGGGTCCTCAGGTAATGCTATGTCCAATTTTCTAAGGAACCGCCAGACTGATTTCCAGAGTGGTTGTACCAGCTTGCAATCTCACCAACAATGGAGGAATATTTCTCTTTCACCACATCCTTGCCATAATCTGCTGTCACCTGAATTTTTTATCTTAGACATTCTGACTGGTGTGAGATATAATCATCTAAGGTTTGTTTTGATTTGCATTTTCCTGATGACTAAGGATGCCGAACATTTCTATAGCTGCCTCTCAGCCATTCAGAATTCCTCAGTTGAGGATTCTTTATTTAGCTCTATACTCCATTTTTAATAGGGTTATTTGA